TTAGACACGGTGTAACGCTACCACTCACTGACATGCTGTGCTGAAACGGTGTTGTCTGAACCCCCCCGCGCCCAAATTCAGCTGCGCAAACTGCTGCAATGCAGATGCTTTCCTCACACACTGCTCCAGCGTGACATGTGCTGGCCTGTGCAGTGTGCAGAAATTACTGACCCATTCCTCTGTACATGGCATAACACAGCTGTACTCTCACCCTAACACATGGTTACTGTAACCTTAACACATAATTACTAACCATAAGACAGCTGTACTCTCACCCTAACACATGGTTACTGTAACCTTGACACATAATTACTGACCATAAAATAGCTGTAGTCTCACCCCAACACATGGTTACTGTAACCTTAACACATAATTACTGACCATAACACAGCTATAATCTCACCCCAAAACATGGTTACTGCAACCTTAACACATAATTACTGACCATAACACAGATGTACTCTCACCCTAACACATGCTTACTGTAACCTTAACACATCATTACTGAACATAGCATGTTCCCATCCTCTTTAGGCCCATACCCTACCCTCTTCAGACATGCACCCCACCCTCTTTTGGTCTGTGCCCCGTCCTCTTTAGACTAGTGCCTTACCTCATTAGGCCTGTGCCCCGCCGTCTTTAGACTAGTGCCTTACCTCATTAGGCCTATGTTCTGCCCTCTTTAGACATATGCCCTGCTCTCTTATGGCTTGTGCCCCGCCCTCCTTAGACATGTGCCTTGCCTCATTAGACCTATGTTCTGCCCTCTTTAGACATGTGCCTTACCTCATTAGGCCTGTGCCCCGCCCTCTTTAGACTAGTGCCTTACCTCATTAGGCCTGTGCCCCGCCCTCTTTAGACATGTGCCTTGCCTCATTAGACCTATGTTCTGCCCTCTTTAGACATATGCCCTGCTCTCTTATGGCTTGTGCCCCGCCCTCCTTAGACATGTGCCCCGCCCTCTTTAGGCCCGTGCCCCGCCCTCCTTAGACATGTGCCCCGCCCTCTTTAGGCCTGTGCCCCGCCCTCTTTAGGCCTGTGCCCCGCCCTCTTTAGGCCCATGCCCCGCCCTCCTTAGACATGTGCCCCGCCCTCTTTAGGCCCATGCCCCGCCCTCCTTAGACATGTGCCCTGCTCTCTTTAGGCCTGTGCCCCGCCCCTGATAAACTCGGATTTGCTAGCTTTTTCTGTCAGAGGCCCTGAGTGACAGGCATCACACCTGCTACCTTCACCTCTGGGGTTGCTTTGTGGGGGGGCTGTGAGCAGCTGCTGCATCCACAGTGCAGCCCCCATCTGAGTGTGACAGCCCCTAACAGCA